GGGGGGGGGGGGGCGGCCGCCCACCCCGCTGGCAGAATGCCGCGCAGCCAAACACGAGGCTCGGATTCGTGTTGGCTGTAGGCCTGTGCCACCAACGACTCCGAGGCAGAAAGGGCGGGGGGGCTCGCGTTCGGCTGGCATGCCCAACAACTGTGAAAAAAAGGGTCCGGGGCTCCTGCTTGCAGCGCGGGCACAGAACGCAGTCAAGACCACCGACCTCGCCAACACTCCGTTGCAGAGGTCAGGTGCCTCCTGCCGCTCTCGAGGCCACCGCCACAATGGCGAGATACTGCCGTTCGCCGCAATATCCTCTTGACTGCCGCCTCGAATTCACGAATCAAATCACTGAAACCCGTGTCTGGACCAATGCCGAATTCAATAGTGAAAGCTTCGCGGCCCTCGGTGCCTGTTGGCGCCGCTCCCCACTCCGTAGCGGAGATTGGGTCCCATTCATTATGCAAAGATATGTGATTGCTGCGGGCATCGGCCCCCTCACGTTGCGGCTGCGCAAAGAGGGCTCCATGTCTCTGAACATAGTCTGGGAGCTTCGAACCATGTCCGAAGCCACAGCCTCAGACACTCGCAGGGGAGGCAGTATCCTGGGTCCTGGTCAAGGTCTCGCAAATACACCATTGTCGTGAGACAACGACCTCGACGGGCGAAGCTGGCCACGTGGCCCAAACCGCCTCCTCATACTCGACATAGCCGTGCCGTGAACTCCGTAAACTTGATAACCGTAGTGGCCCGTTGGCAGCGCGCCTGCCGCCTCCAACCTCATCGCTGGTCGGTAGCGGCGACTGGCCCTGGCGAAACGGACTATGCGACGGTGCATGGTGGTCGCCTTGCTCACTGGCTTGCGCTGAGTGGCCCTGGCGTGCCGACCAGCGCCCGTGTCCACCCCGAGGAAACTGGACTGCAACGCCGCTCCCACCGTCACTCTGTGCTGCCTGAGCCCTGCCACGATGAGCGAGGCATCCTGGCGGTGTGAGCAGATGGCGACGCTTTTGCTTCCTTCTCCATCTAAACACTCACTGGTCTGAAGAATAACCTGAGAGAATGTCTTCCTGACGTGTTTCCTCGAACCCACTATATACTGCGACAGACAGCTAGGTGCGCTCGCGCTTCATCTGACTTCCTACCCTTCCCTCCCACCCCTTCCCATTGCGCTGATTTTCTCTATATCCGCGGGCGTGTGTCATAGCCGACCTGCAACTCCAACCCGAAGACCGTGTCGTTTTATGCGCAATCGGAAAAGGGGAGCTGTGTGCATAGGAGGATGACGAGGTGACGGGTGAGCAGGAGGATGAGCAGGAGGAAAGGGAGGAGGATGTGGAAGGAGGGGGACGAGGACAACCATAAGCATCAGGAACTGGAGTGGAAGGAGCGGACGGACCAAGATCGGATCGGATCGGATCGCCTGTGCGGGCATGCGCCCTGGCCCTCGAAGGGCGGAGGGTAGGCTTGAAATCCTCGACGACCGTGGTTCATTATCTAGAAATGAAAACATAGGTTCTTTATCTGCTGATGATACCCTATGGATTATTGTTATGTGAATGGATCGGGCTCAGGCCCCCCCCAGGCCGAATCATCATCTTTCCGGAAGAATCAACCTAAGTTTAATATTCCAACATAATGAACCAAGGTTTATTTCAGGCCAGAACGTACCCCCAAACGGCGCCCCCGAGGCTCAATCATTATCATTCCAGAATAATGAACCCTGCGTCGATAATCCGGGAACATTACGAATCCAGGTTTATTATACATGAAAAATCTGGTGAGGAACCCGCAGGTTGGGGGGAAAATGATAAATATCATAATTCCGGAATGCCGAAAACCGAGTTCATTATTCCTGGGACATTGTAAACCCCAGCTAGTATTCCCGGAACATTATGCCCCCAGGTTAATATGTTTTTGGGATCGATATCCCCAGAACATTATACACCAGGGTATATAGTGTTCCGGGGGGAAGGAACATTATGAACCCCAGTCGGTATGCCCAGAACATTTAAACCCAGGTTCATAATGTTCCGGGCGAGACCCAGGTTAATATGTTTTTGAAGTCCATCCTGTACGGGCGAGGCGGGTGAGGCCATGGCCTCGCATGAGAGGCAGCGCGCGACGGAGGCTTGCTCAGGATAATGCGTACCTCACGAAATGATGTTCCAATTGTTCCCACTCCTGTGTAGTAATCCGATGTAATCCGGAAGGGACATGACGACCAGGGGAAGGCGGAGGAGGGACAACAAACATGTTTCGGGTACAGACGAGTAGCCCACGCTGGGGCGCGAGCTTCATTTTGACCGACGGGAACATAGCGCCGATCCGAACATGAGGCCCAGGCTGCAGCGGAAGCACCATCTTGAACCACCGAAGCCCGTCGGGCTGTAAACATCAAGCGAACCATCAACGATTGAAATCATGTGTAAAACATACAGCTCGCAGAGAAGGCCGAACATCGTCCACACGGGGTCAGCGAAGAGAGGAAAGTAGTACTCAGAACGTGTAACTGTTAAGGGAGGGCAATATTAAACCAACGATGCATCAACGATGCTCACATATACTCGCCCGTCACAAGTCCCCTCCTCATAGAACCCTACACACATATCCCACTCCGCAAAACGCCCATTTGATCGACAACAGCCCCATGTACCTGCACTTCAGACGGGCACCCCGTTTCGGAAAAAAAACTGATCTCGTTCGATATTTGAATTCCACGCTCGAGGACGTGTCCGGAAGCAGCTCCGCCATGACAAGGAGCCTGCTTGCATGAATGCGGGCGAAACGCCCAGTCCGACCTGACCACTGGTGTGGTGGTACAACACGGAAGAGCTGCCTAAGGAACGACGCCCCTTTTTCCCCCCAGGAACGCCATGGAAACTCGCCACCAACACAAAGAGCGGAACGCATGCAAACCTAAGGAACGGTCGAGCCCCTTTTTTCCGAAAAGCAAATGGACCTTATTCAGCGCCCCGTCTGTAAGGGCGGTTTGGCAAATCAGCTCACGCAGCTGATACCCCTGGCGCCTCCCAGCACGCATTGAGGGAAACGCCCGGCGGTGGGGACGAGACCAGTTGCACATACGCACACAGACACACAGACACACAGACACACACACACACGCACACACACACACACACACACACACACACGCACACACACACACACACACGCAGACGCACGCACACCCACACACACACACACACACACGCAGACACACACACACACACACACGCACACACTTTTTGCGTCGGCGACTGGGCAGAGGTTACTGCTCCAGCGATCGGGCATCAGTGGGGCGCGCTAGATGCACATTGGGGCGCGGTGCACTGTGGAAGAACACACGCACACTTTTTCGTCAGCGGCGAGGCGACGAACTCCGCTACAGCGAGAAGCTACATAGGGGCACTAACTAGCGAAATGCCCGGCGAGCAAACAGGGAAAGGGGGACGGCCGAGAGGAAAAAGGGACGCTCAGACGCCGAAGAGTTCGACGATGAGCAGCCAAGGGGGCAGCAGCAGCAGCCAGGCGCGCAGGGCCAGAACGCGGTGGGCGGCCGTGGCGAACCACGGTGGCAAGGGCGGCGGGGAGTGGCAGCCACCGCCTGGGGCTGGCGGGGAACACAGTGGAACACCGCGAGCGTCGTACCGCGGCGCACCGAGAAAAAGGCACAGCACTGAGCCGCGGAGGGCGGGAGCAGCGGCCAAATGGCTAGCAGTGACATGGACACTGCGGCGTGACCGCCCGAGGCCAGGTGGCCAGGTGGCCAACACGCGCACATACACATGTATTCGTCGGCGGCGAGGCAGGGTTGGCTGCACCAGCACAGGAGCTAGACGGGGGCACCGAAAAGAAAATTGGCCAGCATGCAAGAGTGAGAAGAGAAGAGAGAGAGAGAGAGAGACACACACACAAACACACACACACACACACACACATTTCGCACCCTATCCCTTTCCAGATCCCTTCCCCTTTTCGCCCGAACGATCCCCATCGCCTGGCTCTCGGGGCGATCCGGCGCCTCCGGGAACGCTCCCAGCGATGCGCAGTTGCTAGGGCGCATCCCGAGGGAACAAAACCGCCGAAAACCACGAACCTCGACGAAAGCGATTCGGGCACCCACGGACCGCTCTCGGGGAGGCGCAGCTGCTGGAAAGCACCCCGAGGCTGGAAAACCGCCGAAAGCCGAAGAGAGCCTCGAACGTCCCCCCCTTGCGCTGCCCCTGAGCTTGTATCGTCCCGCAACCTTCGCCCGACCCGACGATGCTACTGGCTCCTGGCCATCAATGGGCGATCGGGGGGATGCACCCCCCCTTCAGCCTACGGTCAGTCGGGGAGACGTAAGACCCGGGTACGGGGGACTCGGAAATCCCCGACGAGGTCGTCAAAAAAATGACGAGGCCGAGCCTGCATTTTGACGAGGCCTCCCGCTGCAGACATCCCACGAAACTCCTCCTCGTTAAAATCCGAGTCGCGGTCGTCAAAAAACGATGGCGAACCCGAGTCCCGGCAAACCCGGGTCTTACGCTCCCCCGAGTCAGGAGCAGTTGCTTAGGGTGTCGCTGAGGCGGCCCCGGCGACATGCTGTGCCTTGCAAGCGGCCAGTGTGCCGCTGCGCTCCGTGGGGCGGGGGCTGGGAAAGGCTCGGGAGGCAGACGCGTGGGGACCGGGACGTGGATAGCGTGTCCCGCCGCAGCGCAGTGGGCCAGAACCGGCGGCGCGACACGCCATCCACAAGTTACAAACCACACAGTCAACCCGTGGAGTAAGGACGCAAGCTAAGGATGCAAGGGCCTCGGAAGGCCATGCCGACACTTTGCGAGCGGGGCGCGGCCAGCGGAAGCGGCCAAGAATGGGCCGAAGGGGAAGGATGCCAGCGTAGCCTTGGAGAGTGGCTCATCCTTACTATGCGGGTTGACTGTAACAGTTCCCGACCGTATACTGAAGGGGAGGAGGCGGGGCGACCCGACGGACTGGCCCGACCCGACGGGCACGGGGCGCTCCTCCAGCAGCTCGTCGATGATGGCCCGCAGAGGCGCCATGCTGGCGCGGTACCGCGCGCGGCGCGAGGTGGCCGCCAGGCGCCCGGAGTAGCGGCTGGAGGCCTGACGCGGGGCCGGGAGCCCGCTCAAGCCCCCTGCTGCTGCTGCTGCTGCTGCTGCTGCTGCTGCTGCTGCTGCTGCTGCTGCTGCTGCTGCTCCGCGACACTGCTCCGCGACACTTCTCTCGCCCCCTCCTCCTTCTCCTCCTCCTCCTCCTCCTCCTCCTCCTCTGCCTCCTCTGCCTCCTCCTCCTCCTCCTCCTCCCAATCCGAATCCTAATCCTAATCCTAGTCCTAATCACAATCCCAATCCTAGTCCTAATCATAATCATAATCATAATCCTCCTCCTCCTCACCCCCCTCCCCTCCTCCTCCTCCTCCTCCTCCTCCTCCTCCTCCTCCTCCGCCGCCGCCGCCTCCGACGCCTCCGCCTCCTCCTCCGCCTCCGCCCCTCCTCCTCCTCCTCCTCCTCCTCCTCCTCCTCCTCCTCCTCCTCCCCTCCTCCTCCTCCTCTCCTCCCCTCTTCCCTCCCTCCCTCCCTCCCTCCCTCCCTCCCTCCCCCCTCCTCCCTCCCTCCTCCCTCCCCTCCTCCCTCCTCCCTCCTCCCTCCTCCCTCCTCCCTCCCTTCCCTCCCTCCCTCCCTGCCTTCTCCATCCTCCCTCCCCCCCTCCTCCCTCCTCCCTCCTCCCTCCTCTCCCTCCCCCTCCTCCCTTCTCCCTCCTCCCCTCCCTTCTCCTCCTCCCTCCTCCCTTCCCCTCCTCTCCCCCCTCCTCCCTCCTCTGCCTCCCTCCTCCCTCCTCCCTCCCCCTTCCCCCCTTCCCTCCTCCTCCCTCCTCCCTCTTCCCTTCTCCCTCCCCCTCCTCCTCCCTCCTCCCTCCTCCCTCCTCTCTCCTTCCTCCTTCTTCCTCCTTCTTCCTCCCTCCTCCTCCCTCCTCCCCCCATTTCTCCCCCCCGCTGGACCCTCAAGACGGCTTCTGACGGGCCAGGAGCCCACCTAGACTGCCAAAGGGGCCCCCGAGAAGCCCCCAAATGGCCCCAAGAGGGCCCACGGAGGCCCCCAAGATGCATCCAAAAGGCTCCCGGGAAGCTCCCAGGAGGCCCCAAGAGTGTCCCCATAGGGTCCCAAGATGCCCCCTCTTCCTCCTCCTCCTTCCTCCTTCCTCCTTCCTCCTCCTCCTCCTCCTCCTCCTCCTCCTCCTCCTCCTCCTCCTACAGTCCTTTTCCTTGTGAATCTCTTCTCCCTATCGCACCCCGAGGCCAGATTTAGGGCGGGCGAGGCGTTCCGCCTGAGACTTCCTCACCATGTATGGCTCTGAAGCTTCAAACTGGCAACGTATTCACAGATGGAGGGCGTTTGTTTTTCAACATGTGGCTCTCGCCTTAGCGCCGCGCACATTTGTTCCAAAAATTTGCAGGGCTTCACGGATTGAGGATGGCGCATTCTCAAAATGTGGCTCTCGCCTTTGCGCCGCGCACATTCGTGTTCAACATGTGCATCAAGAACCTCACGGATTGAGGATAACCCGTTTTCAAAATTTTGGACGCCCGAGATGGGTACGGGAAAAATGCGTACAATGCCCAACAGCAAATTCTGTCCAAAACCAACAGCGGCCGCTGTTGGGCAGGCGGCCTTCTGTCTCAAATGGACACAGGCCGCGGCGGCGCGGACAGCGAGTCCTGTTCAAAATGAACAGGAACTGCTGTTGAATTGTACCCATTCTTCTCCGTGCCCAGCTTGTTCGTGCATAAAAATGTGGCTATCGCCGTAGCGCCGCGCACACTCGTTTTAAAGTTTGCAAGAGCTTCACGGATTGAGAGCGCTTCTTTTTCAAAAGTTGGCTCTCGCCTTAGCGCCGCGCGCATTCGTTCATCCAAATTGCAAGAGTTTCATGGGTATCCAAGACCAGCGTACCAGAAATTGTAGTTTGGAAAGACTCATGATGTTGCGGGTACAACAGTTACGTTGATTCGCGGAATTGCAATCCCAAGAATGGCGTTCTGGCACGATCCAGGATCGTCAAGACGCAACAGTCAGATTGATACGTGGCGTTGGAATCCCGAGAACAATGTTTTGGCATGCCTCCGGGTATTCAAACGGTTGTCGTCCAACGAGGCAGATCCCTCAATGGAAATGAACCGTTGTAGGGGCCAGTGAAGAGGGATCTTGGAGGGTGGGCGCATTCCAACATCGTTGATGCCTGTTGGGTTTAACTGGTCCTCCTCCTCCTCCTCCGCCTCCTCCTGATCTTCCCCACCATCCCCCCCCAAGTGTTCAGTGAAGGGTTTCCACAACGGTTGGGGGAACACATGGTCCGATAGCTTGGCGGAGATCTTGCCACAACGCTCGGCCACATGGTCGATTGTAGAAGGCAGGAGGCGGCGGTGATTCGCCGTAGGGGTCTTCGATAACGCCAACGTCTCAATAGGCGCTGCTGATTCCTCTCCGCCCCCGCATGATGTCCCCAGATGCGCCAAGGCAGCGCCGAGACGCACAGACGCGCATCTGATACATGCCATTATGACAGAGAAGGGGGGCGGGTGGCAGGGGGCGAAACCCTTACGGCTAGTTAACGAGGACACCACGCTCAGGGAATGGGGAAGAGCTCAACCAGCGCTTCGTCCTGAGCCATGACTGACGGCCCCGAGGCCCGGGGAGAGCCCCGGGAGGCCGCGCGCCACGGACAAACTCGGGACCCGTATCCCTCAGGACCCCTGCACTCTCCTGGCTGCGCGCACAATGGGATAGGGGGAGGGGGGACGAGGCACGCGCCTTCGAAGAAGCCATCCCCCTCCACCAACCCCCCTCCTGCGCGTGGCCGACTCTCCTCAGACGCTGCAGTCTTCATACAAGGAACGTCGACCCCCAGGGTTTCGCCCACCTCCCTGGGCCCAGACTTGCATACTGTCCCATGCGAGGCGGGGGTTTATCCATATCCACCGTCTGGGAACCGACGTCCTGGTGCCCCAGCGGGCGGTGGATATGTATACATTTTGACCCTAGGGCGGGCCGAATATAATTATCCATATTCACCGCCTGCCGAGGTCCCGGAGAACTGATCCTCCAGGCGATAGTCATGCTTAAATTCCCGCCTCGGATCCCAGAAGCCCGGAAGGCCGATAGCGGCGAGAAGCTGGCCGTCGCGACTTTCTTGGCGTCGCCCAAACCGGAGGCTATCGTGCGTGGCGACGGCCTCTCCTTGAGTCCGTCCAGACCCGTCTCGAGGCAGGCCCCAGAAGAGTTCGGGAAGCGCCCAAAAGCGCCGCCATGGTCTCGACTGGCCCTCGTCCGACCAGACGTCTTTATGGTTACCGCGTGGGGCATCCGCCTCGCCTATACCGTGAGCCCTTGCCGACATCCCCTGCCGTTTACGGGGGAACTGCCGCTTCCTGGTTACCGGGACGGATGGAAGCAGGGACGGACTCCGACCATTCGTTCCGTCCCAGTTCCCATCTGTCCCGCGATTTCCGGTGGCGTCCAGGAGGGGGGTCGCAGAGCATGGCCCGAGGCACGTGCGCGGCCCAGAATGGGGGACCAGGGGGTGCACTGAAAGAAAAAAAAGGCGGCCATGAGTTCTGGGGAATTAGCATGAACTACCATGGTCCCAGGCATGAGATCGTCCCCCAATCATCACTCCCCTGTCGGCCGCCCCAGACTCCTGCGACCATTCTCCCCGTTCCCGCTTCCATTGGAAGAAAGCAAACGGCATAAACAAGAACTGGCGCGGATTTCCTGGATCGGCACTGCACTCCCCTCCCTGGCGCGTGGAGCACGGCAGGGGAGGCGCCAGAAGCGCCACCGAGGTTTTGCCCCAGCGCCGATCCAAGAGATCTGCGCGGATCTCCGAAACTCATGTTTGAACAATTGTTTCTTCTTCGATCCATCGTCCCGCGACCTTCGCCCGACCCGACGCCGCTTCCGTCCCAGACATGCGATGTCTTGAGTGTTCAATGCGGGCTCCCTATGAGTCCCGACTCGTTCCCCGGGGCCGTGTTTTCATTCAGATTCGTCTTCTGACAGTCCCGGGGTCCTGCGAGCGCAACCGGAGGCCGAGAACTGCAAAAACCGTTCGCCTTGACTTTTCCAAGACGAAAAAGTGAAGAGATCATTTCCGTCCCCGCTTCCATCGTCCCCGCGACCTTCGCCCGACCCGACGCCTGGCGGTCTCGCGCCATACCTCGGGCCCCTGGCGGCCGCTCGGGGCGACCCGGGCGCCCAGGGAACGCCCTCGCCGAGGCGCAGCTGCGGAAGGCGCCCCAAAGCTGGAGAAGCGGAGCACTGACAAACCGCCCGAAAACCTCGAACCTCGCACATCCTCCCCCAGCTTCCGACGCCGCTCCTGGCCCGACGCCGGGCCTGGGCGGGGTGGCCTGTCGGGCCCCTATCGGCAACCAGTGCGCGACCAGTGGTCGACGCATCCCCCCCTGAGCCTGTCCCACCCGGGCGTTGCCCCTGACATACTTGGAGGGCATATGCGCAAGAGCTCCTCAAATGTGAGAGGTGCCGAAGGGAAAACGCAATGCACCGAAGCAGGCTCTCACCCACGGCCACGCCCGGAGCAAAGGCAACCTATAGGGTGCACAGGGCGACCTACAGGCCTATCGGGAGGGGAGGCGAGCAGAGCTACCCGTCGGTCGAAAGAAGTGGGTAGAAACATGAAGCAGGAAGGCGTTGACAAAACATTGGGTGTCCGCACACCCCCTGAAGAGGACGAAGGGAAGCTGGAGTGGGAAGGCACCCAAAATAGACTGGGACCTGCCCAGAAACTTACAGCGCCTACTCAACGACCAAGAGCGATCTTCGCCCGACCGCCGCGCCGCTCCCGGACCGGCCGCCGCGCCTGCGGCTCCTGCGCCGCGGCCTCGCCACCGGCCTGCCGGGACCGCGGCGGCGTGCACGGGCGCAAGCCCGACGGCCCAGCCCCGCCCCGGTGCATTTTTGTTTTCGATGCGGGGGCGGCTTCCTCCTCGCCGTTCTGGTCCTCCCCGTCCTGGTCCTCCCCTTTTTGCTCCTCCCTCCCACCCTCCATCTCTCCTCCTCCTCCTTCTCCTCCTCCTCCTCCTCCTCCTCCTCCTCCTCCTCCTCTTCCTCTTCCTCTTCCTCCTCATCCTCATCCTCTTCTTCCCTCCCTCCCCCTCCCTCCCTCCCCCCTCCCTCCCTCCCTCCCCCCTCCCTCCTTCCCTCGCTCCGCAGACATTTTGCTCTCAAGCCTCGAGCCGCGCCTGGTGCCCCCGCGACGGAGGGCGCCGTGCCGCCCATGGCGCGGCGCGCGGCGCCCCGCCTCTGCGCGCCGCCGGCCGCTGACCCGGCCGCGCTGCTGGCCGCACTGCTGGCCGTCGCGGGCGCGCTGCGCGGGCGCGCGGGCGCCACCGCGGTGTGGGCGCGCGGCAGCGGCGCCGCCGCGTGGGCGGCGCGCCGCGGGCGGGCCGCGGCGGAGCGGGGCCGCCTGGTGGTCGCCAGGGGCGCCGAGCCGAGGCAGCCGGGCGGGGTGAGGCGGGTGCCGAAGCGCCCGGCCGCGGTGCGCCTGGGGCTCGCAGTCGACGACGTCATCGACTGGGAGACCGAGTACGGCGTTCGGGAAGCCAGAAAGCAGACGCCCGCCAGACTAGAGAACCTCGTCGTCAAGTCCGGCATCACCGCGCAAGAGGTGGGGATCGTCGGCGTGTGGAACGACGTCACCAGGGACCTGGACGAGGTGGACGAGGTGCTCGATATCAGAGACGCCCTGGACCACGCCCAGAAGCTGGGGCTGGACCTCGTGTGCGACGGCGTGAAGGTTGATCCCCCGCACGCCTACTTTGTGCTGGTCGCGCAGTACCCCTTCGTGAAGGCGCGGCTCCTCAGGAAGGAACCGCCTCCGCACAAGGTGAAGGAGACGCGGCTCGCCTACAACGTCGGGGACGGCGACCTCGTGCAGAAGACTAAGCTCATGCAAAGGTGGGTGCGGGAAGGCTTCCAGGCCCGGGTCAGGGTGCTGATGCCCGGGACGACCAACCGGGGCGACAGGGGGCGCGGGGACGGGCGCGCGACCGCCGGAGAAGCGGCGGGGGGCCAGCGGTGCCAGGCGCAGAGGCTGCTGCGCCGCGGGCGGGAGATGGGTCGCCGAGGTCGCGAAGGCGCCGAGCGCCACCCGCGGCGGCCCCGCTGCGATCCGAGACCTCAAGGGGCGACCTGGTGATGATGCTCAGGGCGGGCTCGGACCCGTCCGTGCTCAAGGCGCTGGGCAGGGAGGGGCGGAGGCCTCCGCCGCTGCCCCGAGGCCGGTGGCCGTGCCTCCTCCTCCTCCTCCTCCTCCTCCTCCTCCTCCTCCTCCTCCTCCTCCCTCCTCCTCCTCCTCCTCTCCTCCATCCTCCTTTATCCTCCATCCTCCATCCTCCATCCTCCATCCTCCATCCTCCTCCTTCCTCCTCTTCATCCTCCATCCTCCTCCCTCCTCCTCCCTCCTCCTCCCTCCTCCTCCCTCCTCCTCCCCCCTCCTCCTACGAGGGAGATGTTGGAGGGCCGCATCTGGACGGTGCGGAGGATCCCCAGCCTCCCGACCTATATGGAGTTTCGCGCGAGGAGCTGGCCGTGCAGCGGCTGCAGCAGAAGGGCGGGTCCAGGTCCGTGGAGCAGCTCGAGGAAAACGTGGCGATCATGACTGCGTGGTTGCTAAAGTGTGGGTTCAAGCGCCACGAGATCAACGAGCAGGAGGAGATCGCGGAGCTGCGCACGCGCTTGTCGGCTGCCAGGCCCAGGAGGAAACGAACGCGTAAGCACGCGCGCGCGGGCCTCTGCTGCGGCACGCGGCCCTCTTCGCGCCGCTCCGCCGCGCCGCTCCGCCGCGCAGAAAAAAAGTCCCTCCCTCCTCCCTCCCTCCCTCCCTCCCTCCCCTCCCTCCCTCCTCCCTCCCTCCTTTCCTCCCGCCCATCCTCCCTCCCTCCCTCCCTCCCCCCCCTCCCCCGTCCCCTCCCTCCCTCCCCCCCGCCCCCCCCCTCCCTCCCTCCCTCCCTCCCTCCCTCCCTCCCTCCTCCTCCTCCTCCTCTCCTGCTCTGCTCTCCTCCCTCCTCCTCCTCCTCCTCCCTCCTCCTCCTCCTCCTCCTCCTCCTCCTCCTCCTCCTCCTCCCCCTTCGCAAGCGTCGTAGACCAAACGGGTGCTGTGTCACTCCAGGAGCAACAGGCACCGCACTAGAATCTGGAGCTACTTCCCCGGGGCAAGGAGGACGAGGGAGCGGGGGCAGCCACAGGAGGCGAAGGAGAAAAAAGGGAGACACGTGCCCCAGGGCGTAGCTAGAACCAAGTAGAAGCTCTCGAATGAGCTTTGGCCGTTCAAGCGATCGCTTTGGATTCAAACAGGGTTGATAAAACTTGTCGGACCTCACCGACGCAAGACCCCCACAAAACGCACAACACATGATCGGCGCATCAATTCCCACCACCCTGGCACAATGCAACTGTTACCCCACCCTCGCGCCTTCTTCTAGGAGAGCGGACGTGGTTAGGGATAGGGTTTGGCAAGGGGCGGAAATCGTATCCATGGCGGCCCCCAGACACTGCAGGCACAGACAAGCCAACCCATGTCGGGGACTGGGCGGTGCGGGGGGGGGGGGGGGCGCGGTCTTGGCCGCATTGGGCCCCGAGGAACGAGCGAATTTCCCGAATTACTGCTCGCAGGAGGACCACACCGCCAGAACATGCAAAACACCAGCGACGAGACAGGAGCACCCAGCCTCGCCTCGCTCGAGGTCTTCAAGTTCTTGGGGAGACAAATCGTGCTTTTGTGCCCCCAACTTGGCACAGTCATCGGACACTGTGGAGCCAACGATATTCATACAATCCTTACCGTCAACAAAACACGAGCGATGGGCGTTGACTTTCTCCAGAGAAGGCCACGTAACATCCTCAAATTCGGGGCCGATCTCTCCCCGGATAATACTGAGAAGAGACCTTCGCGACAAAACCCTACAGGGCACCCTCGCTCCCGCCGCGTGCCTCGCATTGTCGACAACCACAAGCCCAAGAGGCGCGGCGAAAGGCGGAGGGTCTCTCCGTATAATAGACACAGCCAGGCACGAATGCCCACCCTCAGCGCTCCTCTGGGAAAAGCCACGAGGTAGCGGGCCGCATATGCTACGACGCCTCTGGCAAGAACAAGCATGGACACCATCCCGAAGACAGCGCAAACAATCTCGAGCCAGTATCCGCGGAAGCAAGACCCGTCGGAAAACGCATTTTCACCAGCGCGGAAGATACGGAAACTAAGAGGTTCGTTCGTTCGCTCGCGAAGCTGAGGACCCCTCTGGGGTCTGCTGTCTATGACCGCTCACTGCTTGAAAGCGGTCGGCACAATTCCGCACCGCTTGCGCCACCGCGTGAGCCTGTCAGAAGCCTCTGTACGAAAACAGCACACCTGCAAGGGCCTCGGCATGGAAGGAGGAAATCGGCGCGGCGAAGAAAGGTCCCGACATTGCGAGAAGGCCGGACATCCCGCGCTTCATGCAAGAAACACTCTAGTTCGACCACCCAACATGTGGCAGAGCAGCTCTGGGCCCGGATGACATCATCTGAATGGACTAACAAGTTACAGCGATCAAAAGCAACGGCTGGAAAAGGGAAATCATAGCGCTTGCTCCAAGACCGCCGTGAGTCCGTTGTTAAGCCGACCAAGCAGTCAGTAACTAAGTTGCGTTCGCGTTTACGCAACATCGCGGGGTAACGCCACACCTGCGGGGGAAGCCGCCCTTCGCCGATAAGCTCGGCCCAAGTGTCGCAGATGCCCGTGAAGATCTGCTCCGAAGCTGGGTCGTTCACAAGTAGCAGGCACATCGCGATGCGCTGCGCAGGCTGGCAATCCACCCCGACGGCAATGCGACGTTCGAGGTCTTCCCATTCGACGCGGCGGCCCGCGCCTGCAAGACTGCGATGGGAAGGGGCAATCTTCCAAGACAAACGCACTGCAAGCCTTCTTCGTCCGCGACGGCAAGCGAGCGTCGGGGGCGCAGGCCGCGCGCGCTGGAAATTCGGGCACGCCCCACGCTTGGCGCGCAGCATTTGTAAACTACTCCAAGTTCGCGCCCCGCGCCTGGCAGGGCGGACAGGAGACGCGCATTTGCCGCCATTGCACGCCGTGCCATTCGCAGAACAGATACATATATATATATATATATATGTATGGCCCATGCAACAGGCTGGCCGACGACGCTCTGGGCCGCCTCGTGGGCGCGCCTCCACTTGTAGCGAAGCCGTCGGGCGCCGCCCCGCAGCCCCCGGGAATGGCGAACCCGCAGTGCGCTGATGCGGCTAGCGAAGGCACTGTCTGGATATGTTTTTCTCGCCGCGCTCTCTGAGACGCGCCTCTTGGGACATGATGATGAAGCATGCGAATCCAATTTGTGTGGAACCATTTGACAATCAAGATGCATGTCAGGCTGTTGTCTCCCGTGATGCCCTCGTCAGACCGTCGCCGCAACTTCGGCGTCTTTCGCGGCCATTGGAACTCCCGGCGCTCGATCTCGACAAGGGCGTTTCTACTGAGATGCCTTGTGAAGGCCCCGTGCACTGCCGACGCAGCAGGCCCAAACTGCCGCGCGCGCAGCTTGTCCGGCGCATCGCGAGGGCCACGCCGGGCTGGCAAATCGGCCCAGTAGCACCCATCTGCCATCAAGAATCTGCGATCCAAACTACGGCGGGCCATCTCGAAGACGCGGCGAAAGACGACCAGGCCGGCCTGCCATCCGACTCTGCCGCGCTGATCTCTAGAGTGCCGGCGCCGCCCCCGGCAAGGCCGCCGACGCAGATGAACTCTAGAGAACCGCGTTTCCAATGCAACTTGTGAAGAGAGACGCCGCAAGTCAGTCAGTCCTCTTCGCCCGCCCTTCGAGCAGTTGGAACCCC